GTCTGCAGTCTCTGGTCATCTCCTGTACTATGTCTGCAGTCCATTGGTTCAGAATATTTTTTTTTTCTCCTCTAAAATCAGTGAAGGAAATAAGTATTTGATCCCCTGCTGATTTTGAATGTTTGCCCACTCACAAATAAATGATCAGTCTAAAAAAATCGAATGGTAGGAAAAAATTCAAAAGAAATGCATGTCTAACAAAGTATGCACTGATTTGCATGTTCATGAAGGAAATAAGTATTTCCCCTTCACAAAATGTGACTTAGTACTTGGTGGCAAATCCCTTGTTGGCAATCACAGAGGTCAGACGTTTCCTGTAGTTGGCCACCAGGTTTGCACACATCTCATGAGGGATTTTGGCCCACTCCTCTTGGCAGATCCTCTCCAAGTCATTAAGGTTTGGTGGCTGACGTTTGGCAACTCGAAAGCTCTATTTGTGTGAAAAAAACTTAAATGTCATTTTTGTTCAGTGTTTCATGACTGTACAACTGTCAATTAAAGTAGCGCAGTGCCATACACCAAAAAATGGCCTGTCATTAAGGGAGTAAATCTTCCAGAGAGCAAGTGGTTAAAAAAAAACCTGGCAGTAAAATGTCATTTGCCAGAAAGTTAGTATTTAAACTGTATAATTTTGGTCAATAGTGTCACTACCGTGTTTCCCTGAAAATAAGACACTGTCTAATATTTTTTTTGGCTCAAAAAAAACACACTAGGTCTTATTTTCGGGGTAGGTCTTATTTTTTAAATGTCCAGGTGTGGACAGGGGGTGTTGAGGTGTGCTGCAGGAAGTTGTGGATGAGGGTTACTATGGAGAGGGCCGATTGATGAGAGTTGTGAGCTGCAGTCAGGTGTTGCAGAGGTGATTTGACAGGTGAGTTTCAGACAGGGTGCATATATGAGCCACAGACAGGGTGCAGGGGTGAGTTGCAGATGGGGAATGCAGAGGTGAGCTGTGGCCAAGGGGTGCAGAGCTGAGCTGTGGCTGGGGGGTGCAATGGTGGGTTGCAACTCAGCTCACCTGTGCACCCCCCTAGCCGCAGCTCACCTATGCACCCTGTCTGCAACTCACCTGACTCAATTTACCTCTGCAACACCTGATTGCAGCTCACCTTTGCACATCCTCCCCCTCCCCCCCCACTGCCCTCATATGGTTAGCTAGCTTTGCAAAACACAGCTGTCAGCAGCCGGCCCCTCTGTATAGTAACTCCCGTTTCGGGTCCTATCTTCCCACAGTGCACCAAGCGCACTTACTCACCACTCGGCCTCTTCCCCACTGGCTCGTGATCACCCCTGGGGCATTGGCTTCCATGCATTAGGCTGCAGGAGGAGATGCCCCACCCCTAAACACACTGCATACTGCACCCGCAGATATCTGTTCCTTCCCTGTCGCACAGTAAGTACAGAGGTAGGGAAGTTCTGTGGTGGATGGTGCTGTCACTTCAGCATTGCTTCTGTGTTTATAAGAGACAGTAGATATGGGTGTGAGCAAGGCCAGTGCCGGAGGTGGCGGAATGGCGTTCCACCATGTTCCAGCTGAAAAAAAGCCCTGATCACAACTAGGTCTTATTTTCGGGGTAGGTCTTATACTTTAGCAATTCCCAAAAATAGCACTACGTCTTATTTTTGGGGTAGGTCTTATTTTAGGGGAAACAGGGTATTATCCCTACCTCTTTTATTATATAGCTAATGACAGCTTAGGGAGCTTGTTATTTGGTGAACAGTACTGTCAGGATTGGTTGTGTGTGCTCTGCTGCAGAAGGATCCACTGCCACCAGATTGAAATGCCTGTGTGAATCCTCCTGCCCCTGTAATGGTGTAGGCTATAGCAGCTGAGTGATGAAAACAGGACCAGTGCCAGAGGTGGAGGTATGGAGTTCTGCCATTTTCTGACCAGAAAAATCCCTACTTATAATTAGTGAAGCCACAAATCACAGTGATAGTGGGAGCAGAGAAGTAAGGAGGGAGTGGTCAAAGCAAGTAACCATGAAGATGGTTGCATTTTGCACATTACCGTGACTAAGTGGCTAGTGAATGTTGAGATATGGCTGGTAACAGAGCCAGCTAAAACTAAGAAACCCTGTTCTATTCACTCTTCCTTTGCACTGGATCTACTGTAGTATTTGTCTTTAACAGTATGCCAACCACAATGTTATATGATGGTGTGATTTATCAGACAAGTAAATATGCACCTTTCGGGCCAGTGGTTTGTAGAGGTAGGCAGAAGAAATCAAGTTACCCAGGAGGAAATATGCTATATGATATGCTAAAAGTGTCAGATATCAGTGCATCCAGAGCTCTTCTTGAGAGCAAAGAAATAACAGACGAACTGACAAAAAGTTGAGTAGTTGAAATCCTTCTTTTACAGGGTTCTGAGGGTTTATTTTTCAAAGTCATCCTCCAGTAGCCACATGAGAGATAGACTCCATCTACCCAGGAGACTATTTGCCATGAGGCAAACAAGGCATTTGCCTAGGGTGGCACTTTTCAGGGGCGTGGCATGGTGGAGGCGCCCTGCCCCTTCCCACAGAAGGGACACTTCTGTGGGAAAGGGGCTTCTGTGTCTTACCTGTGTCCGCGACTCTATGTCCTACTTCTATCCGGTCTACGAGGTGCTGCTGGAGTAGGGGTGGAGAGGGAGTCCGTCCAGTGTCTTCATCTTCCTGGATCTTGATCGCGATGTGGGCGGGATGACATGCTGCCTCTCTCATCTGGCCACACCCCCAGGATCACTGGGCAGACAATGGCAGCCTGTCCTTCCCTTTGCAAGCTCCGCCTCCTCGCTGGTGACTGGCCCCCGGACCTGTAGCTCAAGAAAGGCACACAGGTGGCCAATCACCGGTGAGGATGTGGAGCTTGGAGAGGAGGAGCCAAGCGGCAGCGCAAAGATTGAAGAAGATTGAGTGAGGGACCAGCCAGAGCCGGTGAAGAGGAGAAGAGTTGCCGGAGAAGGAAGACAGCTGATTGGTAAGGTAAGTGTCTGTGCAGTCAGGATCTGGGCAGAGCAGATGGTGCTCCTGCAGCCAGGTATGCTGGCTGTGGATGGGAGAGGGAGGGAGCCCGAGCTGGAGCAGGGGTCAGCACAGTAATGTAAGCACCATTGGTGTCAGTGGGAGGAATAGTGCCCCATCATTAGTGTCAGTGTGGGAGGAATAGTGCCCCATCATTGTTGTCACTGACACCAATTCTGGGGCACTATTCCTCCCTCTGACACCAATGCTGGGGCACTATTCCTCCCACTGACACCAATGAAGGGGCACTTTTCATCCCACTGACACCAATGAGGGGGCACTTTTCCTACCACTGACACCAATGATGGGGCACTTTTCCTCCCACTGACACCAATGATGGGACACTATTCCTCCCACTGACACCAATGATTTGGCACTATTCCTCCCACTGACACCAATGAGGGGGCACTATTCCTCCCACTGACACCAATGCTGGAGCACTATTCCTCTCATTAACAACAATGAAGGGGCAGTTTTCCTCCCACTGACAGCAATGATGGGACACTATTCCTCCCACTTACACAATGATGGGGCACTATTCCTTCCACTGACACCAATGATGGGGCACTATTCCTCTCACTGACACCAATGATGGGGCACTATATCTCCCACTGCAACTAATGATGGAGCACTATTCCTCCCACTGACACCAATGATGGAGCACTATTCCTCTCACTGGCACCAATGATGGGGCACTATTCCTCTCACTGACAACAACGGTGGGGCACTATTCCTCCCACTGACACTGATGATGTGGCACCATCGTTGTTGTCAGTGGGAGGAATAGTGCCCCATCATTGTCAGTGGGAGGAATAATGCAACACTGTTGTTGTCAGTGGGCGGAGATGTAATAGGAAGAGGTGGAGCCTAAAAAGGAAGGGATGGAGTTTACAGATGAAAGGGTGGATCTTAAACAGGAAGGGGTGGGACAAATTTAGATGCAGGGGGTGCCCGATTTTAGTCTAGCCTAGGGCAGTACAAAACCGAAAAACCCAAAATACACCACTGCACCTACCTACAGGTAACAAAAGCAGGGGTTACAAACTCCTTGCTCCTCAGTTCTTGTGAATTGCAAATAATAAGGAAAAAAATCAGTTTCACAGTTTCAGGACCATATAAAGAGATCTCAGAATGTTACACATAGATCACAGCAAGTGGCAATACTACCAGATTGCAAGATGCTGGCCATTCCAGTAGAGAATCTTTTCACCTATGTGGTACACAAGATAAAGAAATACTTCTCTCTGACCCCAGGGAATCAGGCTCTGGGAGTGGATGATTTAGGTCACCCTTGGGAGTTCAAGCTATGTTATGCTTTCCCTACACTTTCACTCATTTCAAAGGTGCTAAGGAAGATCCAGTTGGACCAGACACTAGTCATCCTTATAGTTCCATTATAGCTTCAAAGACCCAGGTCTCATGGCATGGCTCCTGAATGGCATTCGCTATTAGGAAAAGGACTCTCAGAGAAACTTGAAAGGTCTTTTAGGTCCTGAACCTCCTCAGCAGGGGCAGACTGGTGCATTAGGCCGACGTTACTGGAACTCCTTCAGAATGGAGCAGATAAAGGACTCTCAAGAAATACACTGAAGGTTCATTCTTCGACAACTCTTCCACTCATCAAAAATCATTCTTATTTTTTTTAAATCAGATGCTTTTTATTGAATTAGAAGCATTAAACACATAACAAACAAATAACCCAGGTACACAACAGTACAGTCGCAGTAAGTTGACAAATGTAATAGAGACAGAAATAATATGGGAGTGATCTGTTGTACAACAGTAGCATAAAGGCAGATAGTGAAACATTACATGAGTTGTTACAGACATACAGTATTAGTTCCATCGACCCATAATCATAAATTCAAAAACAAGTACGAGATATTCTCAACATAATCTAGTATACTAATAACAGAAAACCAAGGTGTACACCTTCTGGTGCAACCAGAACCATATTCATGCCTTAAAACTCAACACTTCAGACTGGCATTAACCTCCCTGGAGGTATTCCCGAGTGTAGCTCGGGGTAAAGTTTCAGCACCACAAGCGGTAACCCCGAGCTACATTCGGGAATACCTTGCAGTGCTGCTCTGGGATCTTTTCTACACTTACCTTGTCCTGCGCTCCTGCGATGTCCCCCCTGCAGTGTCCCCGGCAATGTCCTCTGGATGATTCCAGCATCCGTCTTCTGGGTTCCGTTCCCTGCGACGTCAGGATGTACGGGGACGGAACGGCGGGAAATTTAAAAATGTGAAAAAGTGACATTCACTAAATTCACTAAAATCACATAGTAAAACATTACTGTATCAAAGCACTTCACATACATTTTGTCCCTAGTGCTTTGTCCTGTGCCCTGCCTGCATTTTTACTGTTCTTTCTGCCTGGAAACTGGGAAATGTCCATGGCGTCCAAAAAGCGTCCCTTTAGGTCAAAAACGGTTTTAGACCAGCTAGAGAACAGCAATAGTAAATTAGAACCACTTGCAGAATTGAGTGATAATGATTTGTGGGGAAATTCGTCATCAGAAACTGAAAACAATTTTGCGACTTTGCTCAGTGATGTGCGAACTTGGTGCTATATTTCAAATTTCAGTGTTTTTGGTTTGATTATATTATTGAATTAAATTTATTATTATAATATTATTTTTTATGATTATTTCTTAAATTATAATTTATGATTTCGTGTTTCAGATTTTAACATACCTGGGATGTTTACTAGACTCTTGTTCAGACAGATTTCAGTGCGTTATTCCTACAAATTAGAGGCCTACAATAAAAAAACTACATATTTCCATGCAAAAAAATGTACCGCTTTGAGCACAGAAATACTGACATAATCAGACTGCTAGGGAGGCTACGAGGTTCGTATTAAACAACACTACCATATAAGAGGAACAGAGCACTAGGGCTGGTACACTGTGCAGGTCCTCTCTAGACTATTGTTGTAGTCTATTTAAAATAAGGGATGTAGGGGCCAAAAAATAATTCTTCAAGCCTCTATCTGTGATACTCCTTTAAAACTTCACATTGACCTTCCTGATAGCCATTACCATAGAAAGTCAGGACAGTGAGCCACAGCCTTCAGAATTTCAGGATTCAGTCAAAGAATCATTCTCAACTTTATCTTTGCACAGGGTAGTTTTGAAGATGGATACTATGTTCATTACTAAAGTATCTTTCACTGATTACAGAAAATCATTCTCCCATCTTTATGCGGTAATTCAAACAAGAAAAAAGGAGGACTGGGCATAAAAAGCTGTATATTGAAATATATAGAAGTGACTTTAGGAAGTCTACACCTTTGTTCTTTTTGGGGGAGAAAACAATGGAAGGCAGATATTTAAGATATCTATCACTAAATGGATTAAACTACCAATAGGTCAGCCTACAGTCTTTCAATCAGCAATCTCTGGTTAGAATCACCACTCATTCTACAAGGTCACTGTCTGCTTCCTGGGATGAAAAGGCTGTTGCTAATATCAATCAGATTTACAAAGCAGCCACCTGGTCAAGGACAAACACCTTTGTAAAATTTTCTGGATTGGCCTGATGTCCTACCAGAATCTGTCTTTTGGGTAGAAAGTGTTTCAAGCAATGGTCCATCCCTAGCTTTGCATTTTTGTTGTCTCTCATGTGACTATTCTGGAGGATGACTTGGAAAACATGAGTCATTACTTGAAAAGTCCTGTTCCAGGAATTCTACAGGGCGGTAGCATTCTTCCAACCCCCCCCCCCAAATGTTTTATGTGTTAAGTTAATTTTTTTTTAGTTTTTTTGTTTATCTTTTTCAGTACTGAGGCACGGATAGAGCTTCTACATTCTTTGTGCTTTAGTCACCTGTAGGGGCCGGTGCTTCCATTAGGCAAACTAGGCAGCTGACTAGGGGTGCCTGGACGCAGCACAGTCCAGCACTTTCTCTGTGTGGGACGCCTCCACATCATGAATGATCCTTCAGCTGAGAGGAGGGGCAGGAGAGGGGAGGAAGAAAGAACAGAGGAAGATTCTGGGTGTCTGGGGCAGCTAAGGTGTCGCTCCTTCCAGTGTTCCTCACAGACACAGTCCCTTAAAAGAAATTGATTGATTTAATATTTTCCACTGTTTTTAAATGTATTTTTTTGTGGGGGGGGGGGGGGGCGGGGGGTCTTGCGGCAAGTAGCTGGTCTTGCCTAGGCTGCTAAATAGTCTTGCACCGGCCATGCCTGTAGATGCCTATCTCTCATGTGACTCTTCTGGAGGATTCCTGGAAAAGGAGTTGTCAGGTAATACCTTTTTGTTTGTTTTTTTTAAGGAGCGTTGTGGACATGGTCACTTAAAACATTGATACATCAGAAACAATAAGGAGTATTGACTAAGACCCTAAGACCCTCCACTCATAGTTAATGTACCCTATTCTGACGGGATTGCCCTGACAGATGGTATCGAAGATTATATTTATTGCAGAAAAGTAAAGTAAAAAATAGTGTGCTGACTTCTGAATTGCTCATAGTTCCCATCATACCGTATCCATCTACTATATCTGTACCAGTACTGAGTCTTGTCAGTATTGCTAAACAGCACAAAAAAAACAGAAAGTTACAGCACAAACTAGTCTTTTATGGATCTTCTTGCAAGAGAAGATTGAAAATGATGACCTTTTACCTGGAGTCATCTTCAGAAAATTTATGATGTGCATTGTTGTTTTTCACCTATCACAAATACACAGTCAAGTATACTTTTATCTGGTAGCCTGAGTTCTTTGTACAACATAAAAGTGCATTACATATTATCCATTGATTGGTATCACTACTTTCATTTACCTTACTTTGATAAGCTATGGAGCTCTTGGAGGTGAGCCTGACCTGGTCTACAGTGAACATCTAGTTACAATAAAAAAAAAAAGTTGAACCAAAATGTGATTATTATGCTTTTATCTATTTTATGACTCATCATTGTGTTAAACAACATATTAAACATACGGGTTGATTTACTAAAACTGGAGACTGCAAAATCTGGTGCAGCTCTGCATAGAAACCAATCAGCTTTAGGTCAAAGCCTAATTAAAGTAGCGAAACTTAGAGGCTGATTGGCTGCCATGCAGAGCTGCACTCTCCAGTTTTAATAACTCAACCCACAGTGTATATTACAGCAGAATTCAAGATAAATAGTAACAAAGTTACTAAAAAAATAGCTTACAGTTCAAATCACTGTCTGTTCACCACCCGATAATTCTAATAAAGCTTACATGTGAAATGTCAACTCACAAACTACGTTTAACCACTTGCCTACAGGGCACTTATACCTCCTTCCTGTCCAGGCCAATTTTCAGCTTTCAGTGCTGTCGCACTTTGAATGACAATTGTGCAGTCATGCAACATTGTACTCATATGACATTTTTATAATTTTTTTGTGACAGATAGAGCTTTATTTTGGTAATATTTAATCACCTCTGGGTTTTTTTATTTTTTGCTAAACAAACCAAAAACAACTGAAAATGTTGAAAAAAAAAGTTATTTCTTAGTTTCTGTTATAAAATTTAGTAAATAAGTGATTTTTCTCCTTCACTGATGTGCGCTAATGAGGCTGCAGTGATGGGCACTGATAGGCTGCACTGATGGGCACTGACAGGCGGCACTGATGGGCAGGCACTAGTAGGTGGTGTAGCTATCTTGTATCTCTCTCCAATACCCCCTTCCTCTCTGTTGAGTGACATGTGGTCTGTATAATGCTGATTTCAAAAGGCACCAGGCCCCAGCGGGAGAGCTTCATGGTTATAAATCCCAAATTAGCTGGTGCCCGGGTGTCTGTTAGCTTCTCAATCTGAGAGAATCGTAAAACCATAAACCAGTCCTTCACTAGGCTTCAAAGACATTCCAGCTAGCTGTAAAAAAGACTCATATTTAAAAACCAACTTTTACATATAATTTTATATCTGGAGCTGAGAAATAATTACATAAAAACCAAGCATATATTTGGATAGCTCAGTTTATTGCGAGTCGTCTGATATCTTACACCCCCTAGTTGGAATCTACAGGAGAGCAGAAAACCATATCTCCTTAACCGTCCCAAGCAGGTATGTCATATTTAATATCTAGACGTTCAGTAGATGATTCTGCTTATTAATTTACTAGTGGCTAGGCTGCTACATGCACCTAGGGTAGGTTATTGATCATGATATAAACTGCGAGGGATTTTGGTTCTAGCTTGGATCTCCACCCAAACACCCCTCCACAAATGAGGCAATTGGTTCTATGCTTTAAGGAGACACCCTGCTGAGTCCCTAGAAAAAGGCTGTTATGCTGGGAGGAGTGGAAGTTGAAGAATTCTCCCTTTTAACATTGGAACCAACTTTGGGAGAACGGTACCCTTTTGCACCGATACTTGAACGCTGCTTAAACCAGGGCTGACGGCAAGTACTTTACCTCTCTAAACTTCTTTCTGTTATCTCTTTGCTGTGTTATTGGTCTCTGTATTTATATATATATATTGGCTACATCTTTTTCTGTAAATATTGTTATTGCACCCTTTTGACCTTTTTAGTAATAACTCCTATTATCTGCAAAGTGTTGAACTGTTTCTAAAGCTCTTTAATGTAAACTAAGAATCCCTGTCTCTGAAGAGCGCTATTGTGTGTTTTTTAAAACCTCAATATATCTCTGCCTGCAGTGACAGTGGTGTACAGACGATTATTCAAACATCATAGTGTTATTGCTAATATTGGCGAGTTTCCTCCTACTCTGTACAAAAAGGTGGTGGTGGCAGTGTGAAGGATTAATTGCGTAATTAACCTGACCCAGTAACAATCGCTCTCAGGTTGCAGGTACATGGATTGTTGTCCATTAGCTGGAAAATCTTTGTACAGGGTGCAGCTGAGCGTGGTATTGTTACGCACGTGACAGCATGGTTTTAGATTGGCTAGTCCTTCGGTCACGAGTTGGTGAGAAGGGCTGGGGGTCTGACACCGCGATAGTCACATGTGGCACTGATGGGCATTGACAGGCATCACTGATGGGCACTGAAAGGCAGCACTCATATATGGAACTGATAGGTGGCACTGATAGGTGGCACTGATAGGCAGTACTAACTGGTACTGGTAGGCGGCACTGGCTGGCACTGTTAGGTGGCACTGACTGGCACTGTTAGGAGGCACTGATAGGTGGCGCTGATGGGCACAGATAGGTGGTACTGATGTGCCGTCCTCGCAGAACGAGAGAACTGCCTTGCGCCTGTCATTTCCTTATATGGCGGGCGGGAGGCAGTTAAAGGAACTCACAAGACATATGAGCATATTCTCCAAACATGGCAAAAAGAAATGGTAATGTTCAGTGACATATTTCGACCACTCACATTTTCATTTATTGTAATCACATAAATAAAAGAGTGAATGTGATTGATTGCTATGGAATGTGTGTGACTGATTTCATGTTTTTCTCCCCTTACATAGAGATAATTATAATTAACTGACAATTTAAATTCTTTTTCAGTTGGGTTGTTTTATTAAATATCAGCCGCAGCTTGATACCATATACCATGTAAATAATGAACAGTTAAACCAAAAAGACATGACCAGATCCAAAATTCCTTTTGCAGTACTGAGTAGCATGTCTCAGACTTTCATTCGCAGTCAATTTATCAGGAGTAAATTCAGCCCCAGACACCCAGTTTAGGCTCTGGGGCTTATCTGGGCTTCCTGCCACCAATTCGATAACTCAATACCTAACCAAGTAAATGGCCCAAAGTAAGATTGCACCAACTTTAGTGACAGACTTGTATCCTAACTCTAGAAACAACCTGCAAACTCAGCCCGCAAAAGTGATAACCACTAGCAGTCACAAGGAAAAATATGCCATATTTATTTATATATATATTATTATATATATATTATATATTTATTACAGGTACTTTTATAGCTAAATTTAGCTCATTTGAATTTATGCAGAGCTTTACATATTTATTATACATCTGAGCCATCTAAGACTCCTAACTCACATTCATACATACACATACCAGAGCTAATTTAGAAAAGAGCCAATTAACCTACCAGCATATCTTTGGATTGTGGGAGGAAACCGGAGTACCTGGAGGAAACCCACAAAGGCAAAGGGAGTGTCATGGCTGGGATTTGAATCGACGACCCTATTACTGCTAAGTGAAAGGGCTAACCTCTTAACTTCTGCACTGCCCTAAAAACATACCATAAACATGCCACAAACATACCATAACAAACATATTCAGAATTCACACTATTGACAGAAGAACATGTCCCATAGACAGAAAATGAAATACCTTAGCGCCTGTAGACAGAAATGCAAATAAGGCAACCATTTATAATCCCACCCCCATGATTTTCCACAAAGGAAATAGAATACAAAAGAAATTTCTCATTTTTGTATGTTAATTTATTATTATTACCATATTTTTTTTAAATTTATTTATAAATCAGAATAGGAACAGCATAAGCTGAAAACTAGGGTGGGAGGGCAGGGACTTGTTGTCATGCAGAAAATGTGAAGACACGAGTTCACGTAGAACAATGTGACCCTCCTTTTCCTTTTCCTTTTCTCTATCAATAACCTATTAACCTGCTTGTGGCACCTTAGGCTAAGCTTTGAACTCCAGAGATTCCATTCCCATGATCTGCAGGTGAAGGGGTGCAGGCTGTCAGTATGCCCATCCAGAGTGATGTGTGCAGTAAATCGACTATGATTAAGCCCTGGTGGGCGGGGTGAAACATGTTAGGGGGTGTGGTTTCTTGACAGAGACATGTAGGCTAAAGCCGTTCCTCTTACACAGATTATGGGGGTGGTTGGCCCTGCCAACTGGTTGCCCCTGCCTGTGTCACCCACACAAGTCACTCAAACCCTTATCCCTTTCCTCCCCCTAACCAAATCCACATCCCAAAGGAATTTTCTCCAGTCTTGCTGCCTCCTGTTTTTAATTCACAGGGCCACGGGCGGACTGACAACTTATGGGGCCCCCGGGCAATAGGGGATCATGGGGCCCCTGTGTCCTTGCCCAAACTGAAAAAAGCCTATGAAAAAGGTACCAGGGGCATCTCATGGGGCCCCCTACTGACCCCGGGCCCTCGGGCAGTGCCCGAGTTTGCAAATGGTCAGTCCGCCCCTGCACAGGGCAAATATATTTGAAAATTGATCAACTCTGATGTACCATTGGACTATCTAAATTTTATGGCCCTACAATGCCAGGAGAGTAGAAATACCCCCCAAATGTTCCCTTTTTGGAAAGTAGACAGTCCAAAGTATTTAGGAAAAGGCATGGTGAGTTTTTTTGAAGTTGCAATTTTTTTGGAAAATGCAGAAATTAACCGCTTCCTGTCCACCTTATAGCAGAAATACTGCTATACGGTGGAACGGTGTGCGCAAAATTACGTATATATACTTGATTTTGCAGTTCTGGGTAGGGGGAGTGTGCCCTGCCCGCACCACCATTCGCTGCCTCGGCTGTCAATCACCAAGTCCTGTCCGGTGATTACCCGGTGATCTCCAAGTATTATCGACAGGGAAGAGAACTGTATGTAGACAATACAGTTCTCTTCCCTGTCAGCTCCTGCACACTGCTTTGTATGGCTCTGCATAGCAGAGCCATACAAAGCAGTGTGCTTACAGTGAAGCGCACATAATGTGAAACAGCACCCAGCACACAGTTAACCTTTGATTGCGCCAGATGTTAACCCAGCCCAGTGCCATTTGTACAGTGTCAGTGCTTTATATTAGCACTGATCACTGTATTGTTATCACTGGGGATGTCAGTGACACCAAGTCAGTTCCCCCCAGAGTCAGAATGCCCACTGCAGTCCCGCTATAAGTAGGTGATCGCCGCCATTACTAGTAAAAAAAATGAGTACATATACTGCCATTGTAAATGCTTTAACTTTTTACGTAAACCAATTAATTTGCATGTATTGGGATTTTTTTAGCAAAGACATGAAGCAGAATACATTTTGGCCGAAATTTATGACAAAATGTGATTTTTATTGGATATGTTTAACCACTAGCCTACAGGGCACTTATACCCCCTTCCTGCCCAGGCCAATTTCCAGCTTTCAGCGCTGTTGCAATTTGAATGACAATTGTTGCGGTCATACAACACTGTACCCATATGAAATTTTTATAATTTTTTTGTGACAGATAGAGCTTTATTTTGGTGGTATTTAATCACCTCTGTGTTTTTTATTTTTTCTTAAACAAACCGAAAACCACTGAAAATTTTGAACAAAACACATTTTTCTTAGTTTTTTTTATAAAATTTTGTAAATAAGTGATTTTTCTCCTTCACTGATGTGCGCTAATGAGGCTGCACTGATGGGCACTGATAGGCTGCACTGATGGACACTGATAGGTGGCATTGATGGGCACTGATGAGGAGACACTGGAAGGTGGCACTGATGGGCATTGACAGGCATCACTGATGGGCACTTAAAGGCATCACTCATATATGGCACTGATAGGTGGCACTGATAGGCAGCACTGATAGGCAGCACTGACTTGCACTGATAGGATGCACTGACTGGCACTGATAGGTGGCACTGATTGGCAGCACTGATGGGTGACACTGAAAGGCAGCTCAGATGGGCACTGATATGTGGCACTGATGTGGCACTGATGGGCACTGAAATGTGGCACTGATGTGGCACTGATGGGCACTGGCAGGTGGCATGAATGAGCACTGAGAGCTGGCACTGATGGACACTGACAGGTGGCGCTGCTGGGGCTACACAGATCATCAGAGCACACTGATCATCAGTGATCTGATGATCTGTGCACATGTCCCCTCTGAGGAATGCCGATTACCGGCTCTCCTCTCCTCACAAGCTGTCAGCGTGACAGCTCGTGGGGAGAGAAATGCCGATAACGGCATTTCCTTGTTTGCATGTGATCGGCTGTGATTGGACACCGCTGATCACATGACCGAGCCGACATCTTCGGCTCTTTCCGTGGATCGGTGATTCGCTGTGTCCGAGGGACACAGCGCACCGCCGATCGCCGCGCTGCACGCTTCGGGAGCCGCGCATGTGCGGTTAGAATGGGACGTCCTCCCAGAACGAGAGAACCGCCTTGCGTCCGTCAGTTTACTATATGGCGGGAGGGAGGCGGTTAAAAGCAAAAAGTAAAAAATATTGGTTTTTTTTTCAGAATTGTCAGTCTTTTTTGTTTAAAAAATAAAAACTGCACAGAAGATCAAAAACCACCAAAAGAAAGCTCTATTTGTGGTAAAAAAGGACATAAATTTCATTTGGGTACAGTGTTGCATGACCGCGCAATTGTCAGTTAAATTAATGCAGCGCTGTATCACAAAAAATGTTAGGAGGGGGGTGAATCTTCAGGAAGACAAGTGGTTAAATATTTTTTTTCACAATTTTTTTTACATACTATCACCAGTGCAGTACAGAGTCATCATATGACTGGTGTGGTGGTAATTGGGGATATTGACTGGTGACAGTAAGTAGAAAAAATATATATTACATCATTTTTTATTCAATACTTTATTTTTTTAAACTTTTTTTTTTCTTTTTATAACATATTTTCATCAGAGTAGTTAAGTGTGGTCACACTGTACTACTCGGGGGGGGGGGGGGGGGGGGGGGAAACAAAGGGGGGGGGGGGGCGGTTGATCAGGGATTTTTTTACACTGTTATTGCTTATAACAATTAATGGGTTAACATTCATGACAGCTTAGTTATTGTTGACAACGCAAACAGAGCAAACTCTGTACTTCTGCGCTAGGGGTGGACTCAGCAGAGGTTAAGGTAACAATTCAGATATCCTGGAATATGCATTCCTTGCTGGCCTCAACAGACCGGGGTAGTCCAAAGTCACTGGATACAAAGAAAACAAAAAGAGGGGAGCATCAGCCTAGTGGACTTCCAACTGGCTAACGCATTTCGAGTACTCAGAGTCAACCATAGAGACTCTAAGGAAGAAGCTGATTCCTCGAAACGTGTTAGGCAATTGGAAGTCCAGGGTTCCATTTTTTGGACTTCTAGATGCAGTGTGGATTTGACACCGCTGTTTAGTGTGATGTGACTTTGTCTTATATGTACATTGTGAGTATGATACTTACTTTTTATCCTTTCAATAAATATTTTTTTTGATAATGCACTAGGTCAGTGCGCCCTCTTTTTGTTTTCTTTGTATCTAGTTATTGTTGACATGCTGTGATTGTCTACAACTAATCACATGGTACATGTAGCAAGGTACCATGTTATAGTTGTGGGCCATTTACAGTATCACAACAGTAAGCAAGCTGTCATGAATGGAAATCCATTCATGACAGTTTGCTTACATACATATCATGCTGTGCTATGACTGGTCACGGCGAGGGCCATGATCCACTGTGTCCTGTCATGGGATCGTGCCGCTGTTGTCCCATGGGACGTGCTAGTGTGCACGTGCTGGACGATCTACTAGTACATCACCCAGCCTGGCTGTGGCGCAGTAAAATTACTGTCAGCGGGCAGCAATTGGTTAAACTGACAGCCCAGTGATGTAGATTGCATTGGGCAGACATGACAGTTTGCTTACATTATATATCATGCTGTGCTATAACTGGTCATGGCGAGGGCCATGATCCACTGTGTCCTGTCATGGGATTGTGCCACTGTTGTCCCATGGGACGTGCTAGTGTGCACGTGCTGGACGATCTACTAGTACATCACCCAGCCTGGCTGTGGCGCAGTAAAATTACTGTCAGCGGGCAGCAATTGGTTAAACTGACAGCCCAGTGATGCAGATTGCATCGGACAGACTCAACAACCACTGTTTAATCAACAGAGCTCTGCTATCATTGTACTTACAGCAATTCTGATGAACTGATGATTCTGCTGGCCAGCAGTCAAAGTGACAGCAGAGCACCACTGACTTTACTGGGAGAGCCATGCTTAATTTATGAACAAAGGCTGCTGTTGTTGCACTTTGGCATGCCAGAAGACCTTGTCCTGTCACTGCACCGGGGACTTCTTTTTTTTTTTTTTTGCTTCTGCGGTTTATAGCAGATAACTAGTAATTTTGCTTCTAACACTTTCAATTTCAAAAAGGCATAAATATGAATTAAACATGAATGCACATGCATTTTGTGTGTATTAGTTTCCACTTCTAAACTAGCAGCTTGAACCAATAAACAACCTCATGGCCTCCTTTTATTTTCAGATGCGCCATTTCAAACGCCATATTTCTCCACGCTCCAATCTTTTGCAGCTGCTTGTATATGAATAAATAATAGAAAATGTACAAGACAGAAAAAAAAAGTCTGTGTCGGAGTGATCTAATCACTATTATGAAACAAACTTAATCAATAAATCAGTAACCCATGCATCATCCTATATTAGGAGCCCCCACCCCACCCCCGTGAGCCATCAATGGTTACTTTTGTGAGCCTCGCTATCAGCTAATTGCATGATTTATCTTATCAACTTTCCTGAATGCATTTTCCCAGTTGAGCAGCTGCACTTACTAACCAGAAAGGAAAAAAAAATAAGTAAAATGAGAAACACGTTGATGAGAGATTTTTTTTTTTTTTTTTCCAAAAGGGACGCCTTTATCTAAAACTGGATATTAGCACACCTTTGGAGGAGCATGTGAAGGCAAAGTGAGGAAAACCCATTTGTAGTACTCTTCGAACTGATGTCACATGCAAGGCAAGGACATCACAAGGAGGAGTCAGATTACAGTAAGAATGGGCAGTGCAGCGTACAGGCAATGCTAGATCAGACAGGGGATTGGAACAGGGATAAGACTTGCTGCTCAACACTCATCCTAAACACAAGAAAGCACTGATCGCAGAGCCACTGCTGGGGACATTTGCACCTCCTGAAGAATGAGAGAGCCTTGCTGCACATGACAGGCTTGTGCTGGAGTTAATGCACAATAGAGAGCAGACAGCCTTGTGATTGGAATGAGAAACATAATGTATTTTGGTAAGTGCTGTGCTTTTGTGCTATTATGCTTTGACTTGTCCATTGAAAAGCAGCTGTTTTGACGTGTGCACAACCATTCTGGGCACCTAGCTTCCAGCACTTTGCCTGTAGGGTTGCTGGGTTTGTACGTGTGCAGTGATCTGCAATGGCTAAATTTCACAGTTTCCACTACAGACAAGGGTGGATGGCTCAATAAACTTAGCTACATATTTACTTTAAAAAAGTAACTGAAAAGCCAATGAGCCACTTAAAAGGCAGTCTTGTCCTTTGTGATTTGATGTTTTTACCTTTATGTTTACCTTTATGTTTGCCTTTATGTTTGCCTTTATGTTTGCTTTTATGTTTGCTTTTACGCTTGCTTTTATGTTTGCTTTTATTTATCAGGGTTGTGTATTCTTTAGACAGGAGTTCCACCCCTAACGAAGAATAGCGTTTATCACTTTTATGACCAGCCCAGCTATACAATTCATTTGTTGTTTTCAAAAGTCTATAGAGGGCTCAGCTCCAATTTAATAATGTGTCAGTGAACAGCCTAATATCAGTTAAGTTCTGGAAAAAAAAAAGACCCCCAGGCTACAAGCACCTCTCTTGTCCAAAATAATGGTCCTTACAGTCAGGGCTGCTCATTTAGCCAGAAGTTTCATGGCCACAAAATCCTTGACATGGTTTCTTGTAGTAATTAGCTCATTTCATAGACAGTGAAACTTTATGCTGCATGTTTACTGTGATAATTGGAGTATTCTCTGAAAGCAGAGCAGTGTTTCAGAATGATCTGATTGTGTGTGTTTCTCAATAAGTAACATATGCTGAACGCTGTTTTTTTTTTTGAGAAAAGTTAACGCCCCCCCCAAAAAAAACCTTATGTCAGTTTGCGTGGTATTGTATCAGAGGCTCGGATATAATTGTGTAATATTGTAACATCTACATTGTCTGTGCGTTAGCTGGATGACAGTTTAAATATTTTAATGGAGTGAATGCCTGAAAATGAAATGCTTACCTCCACAAATGACTTTCCAGACCTACATTTAAAGTAATCAGATTCTGTTAAAAAAGGAAAAAAGCGATTTGTTTAACTGATAGCAACCATTTAGAATGCTTAATCATGCAACTGTGGTCAGCTAGTAAAAGGTTAATTTGATTGGTTGCTATGAACTATTGCACTTTGCAATAGTTGTCTGTGCATTAGCTGGAAGACAACTTAAATATTTTAATGGAGTGAATGCCTGAAAATAAAATGCTTACCTCCAAAAATGACTTTCCACACCTACGTTTAAAGTAATCATATTCTGTTAAATAAAACAAAAAGGGATGTGCATAACTCATAGCAACCAATTAGAATTATTCATCATGAAACTGTGGTCAGCTAGTAAAAGGTTAATTTGATTGGTTGCTATGAACTCTTGCACTTTGAAAATCATTATTGCACTGCCTTTGTGAGTAAGCTCATATATATTGGACTTATTCATTATGCTAATAGCTCTTTAAGGTGGATACTTTCATCAGTAATGGTCAGGAGCAGTTCGATTTTAGTTTACTACTGTCATATCATTTAGCAGATGATTTCTGATAGGTTGACATGGTTTTCTGCACTCTGCACTGCTTACCAACTAAGCCCAAATTTAAGTGAAAAGAGAACAAGACATAGCTAATAAAAAATGCTGAATGGTTAAGGTGAGATCTATCAGCAGACCATAATAGCTGGTTGTGTCATTTGCATCTTTATATTACCCTTCAGGCATTTTAAAATAGTAAGGGCATCCAGGGCAACAAGACAACACTTATAGAAAG